GTTACACAACATCGACACCGTCTGCGTCGACTCGCTCAGCGTCCGGCTCACGCGCAGGACGCTCGACAAGAGCGCCACCGCGCTGCAGCAGCTCGAGAAGCAAGTCGCACAGTCAGTACCGCACCCTCACTTAATGTTACACAGTTACACAACATCGACACCGTCTGCGTCGACTCGCTCAGCGTCCGGCTCACGCGCAGGACGCTCGACAAGAGCGCCACCGCGCTGCAGCAGCTCGAGAAGCAAGTCGCACAGTCAGTACCGCACCCTCACTTAATGTTACACAGTTACACAACATCGACACCGTCTGCGTCGACTCGCTCAGCGTCCGGCTCACGCGCAGGACGCTCGACAAGAGCGCCACCGCGCTGCAGCAGCTCGAGAAGCAAGTCGCACAGTCAGTACCGCACCCTCACTTAATGTTACACAGTTACACAACATCGACACCGTCTGCGTCGACTCGCTCAGCGTCCGGCTCACGCGCAGGACGCTCGACAAGAGCGCCACCGCGCTGCAGCAGCTCGAGAAGCAAGTCGCACAGTCAGTACCGCACCCTCACTTAATGTTACACAGTTACACAACATCGACACCGTCTGCGTCGACTCGCTCAGCGTCCGGCTCACGCGCAGGACGCTCGACAAGAGCGCCACCGCGCTGCAGCAGCTCGAGAAGCAAGTCGCACAGTCAGTACCGCACCCTCACTTAATGTTACACAGTTACACAACATCGACACCGTCTGCGTCGACTCGCTCAGCGTCCGGCTCACGCGCAGGACGCTCGACAAGAGCGCCACCGCGCTGCAGCAGCTCGAGAAGCAAGTCGCACAGTCAGTACCGCACCCTCACTTAATGTTACACAGTTACACAACATCGACACCGTCTGCGTCGACTCGCTCAGCGTCCGGCTCACGCGCAGGACGCTCGACAAGAGCGCCACCGCGCTGCAGCAGCTCGAGAAGCAAGTCGCACAGTCAGTACCGCACCCTCACTTAATGTTACACAGTTACACAACATCGACACCGTCTGCGTCGACTCGCTCAGCGTTCGGCTCACGCGCAGGACGCTCGACAAGAGCGCCACCGCGCTGCAGCAGCTCGAGAAGCAAGTCGCACAGTCAGTACCGCACCCTCACTTAATGTTACACAGTTACACAACATCGACACCGTCTGCGTCGACTCGCTCAGCGTCCGGCTCACGCGCAGGACGCTCGACAAGAGCGCCACCGCGCTGCAGCAGCTCGAGAAGCAAGTCGCACAGTCAGTACCGCACCCTCACTTAATGTTACACAGTTACACAACATCGACACCGTCTGCGTCGACTCGCTCAGCGTCCGGCTCACGCGCAGGACGCTCGACAAGAGCGTCACCGCGCTGCAGCAGCTCGAGAAGCAAGTCGCACAGTCAGTACCGCACCCTCACTTAATGTTACACAGTTACACAACATCGACACCGTCTGCGTCGACTCGCTCAGCGTCCGGCTCACGCGCAGGACGCTCGACAAGAGCGCCACCGCGCTGCAGCAGCTCGAGAAGCAAGTCGCACAGTCAGTACCGCACCCTCACTTAATGTTACACAGTTACACAACATCGACACCGTCTGCGTCGACTCGCTCAGCGTCCGGCTCACGCGCAGGACGCTCGACAAGAGCGCCACCGCGCTGCAGCAGCTCGAGAAGCAAGTCGCACAGTCAGTACCGCACCCTCACTTAATGTTACACAGTTACACAACATCGACACCGTCTGCGTCGACTCGCTCAGCGTCCGGCTCACGCGCAGGACGCTCGACAAGAGCGCCACCGCGCTGCAGCAGCTCGAGAAGCAAGTCGCACAGTCAGTACCGCACCCTCACTTAATGTTACACAGTTACACAACATCGACACCGTCTGCGTCGACTCGCTCAGCGTCCGGCTCACGCGCAGGACGCTCGACAAGAGCGCCACCGCGCTGCAGCAGCTCGAGAAGCAAGTCGCACAGTCAGTACCGCACCCTCACTTAATGTTACACAGTTACACAACATCGACACCGTCTGCGTCGACTCGCTCAGCGTCCGGCTCACGCGCAGGACGCTCGACAAGAGCGCCACCGCGCTGCAGCAGCTCGAGAAGCAAGTCGCACAGTCAGTACCGCACCCTCACTTAATGTTACACAGTTACACAACATCGACACCGTCTGCGTCGACTCGCTCAGCGTCCGGCTCACGCGCAGGACGCTCGACAAGAGCGCCACCGCGCTGCAGCAGCTCGAGAAGCAAGTCGCACAGTCAGTACCGCACCCTCACTTAATGTTACACAGTTACACAACATCGACACCGTCTGCGTCGACTCGCTCAGCGTCCGGCTCACGCGCAGGACGCTCGACAAGAGCGCCACCGCGCTGCAGCAGCTCGAGAAGCAAGTCGCACAGTCAGTACCGCACCCTCACTTAATGTTACACAGTTACACAACATCGACACCGTCTGCGTCGACTCGCTCAGCGTCCGGCTCACGCGCAGGACGCTCGACAAGAGCGCCACCGCGCTGCAGCAGCTCGAGAAGCAAGTCGCACAGTCAGTACCGCACCCTCACTTAATGTTACACAGTTACACAACATCGACACCGTCTGCGTCGACTCGCTCAGCGTCCGGCTCACGCGCAGGACGCTCGACAAGAGCGCCACCGCGCTGCAACAGCTCGAGAAGCAAGTCGCACAGTCAGTACCGCACCCTCACTTAATGTTACACAGTTACACAACATCGACACCGTCTGCGTCGACTCGCTCAGCGTCCGGCTCACGCGCAGGACGCTCGACAAGAGCGCCACCGCGCTGCAGCAGCTCGAGAAGCAAGTCGCACAGTCAGTACCGCACCCTCACTTAATGTTACACAGTTACACAACATCGACACCGTCTGCGTCGACTCGCTCAGCGTCCGGCTCACGCGCAGGACGCTCGACAAGAGCGCCACCGCGCTGCAGCAGCTCGAGAAGCAAGTCGCACAGTCAGTACCGCACCCTCACTTAATGTTACACAGTTACACAACATCGACACCGTCTGCGTCGACTCGCTCAGCGTCCGGCTCACGCGCAGGACGCTCGACAAGAGCGCCACCGCGCTGCAACAGCTCGAGAAGCAAGTCGCACAGTCAGTACCGCACCCTCACATAATGTTACATCTATATTATATTATTTCGTGCCACAGCTTAACCTATGGTGTTGCTCAGGGTAGTGTAGTAGGTCCTACATTGTTCCTTATTAATATAACTATTTATATTAATAAGGAACTATAATATATTAACTAACCTAAATATATGCCACGGTCGAGTATTTTTCTATGCCGATGACACCGCAATAGTTTTTACGGGAAAGAATTGGAACTCGGTGTTTAGAAATGCTGAATCCTTGGCCTAATAAAAGTTTCAAAATGGCTCTAGAGTAATATTCTTACCTTGAATATTGCATTTCTAATAATTCTATCTTTACGTGTACAGTTGTTGATAAGGTTGCATCTATAAAGTATTTGGGGGTTGTTCTAGATCAACACTTGAACTGGCACTCTCAAGTTGAATATGCGAGTAATAGGATACGGAAATTAATTTGTCTACTTGAAGTTATGTATTTTAAACCATTTAGTTTTCCTACCGAAAATTTTTACAAGTTGAGCTAGTTTCTTTCGATAAGACAGATATTATATCCTATCTATAGTTTTAAGTATACACAAATCTTTGCCTTTTAACTCTGAAATAATGATGAGAAGAAGAAAAAGTAGGGTCCAGTAACTAAATACGTGAAAATCACAACCCTTATTCTATAAAAAAATAGGGTCTGTTAATAAAGGTGACAAAGAAGCAAACAGTCCACCTAATGGTACATGTATCTTCGAATAAGAATCAATAAAGGTGTATTGTTACCCCTTAGGACCAAAAATAGAATTCCCTGGTTTTCAGTAAAAAGAATCTCCGGTAAACTTGTTCATTTATTTATTCATTCATTCCTTCAGTCCACTACAGAACACAGGCCTCCCTATCGAATGCCTCATAAGGGGAATATTTGCCATAGTTGCCACTCTTGGCAGGCGGGTTGACAACTGCAGTTTTTTTATGTTGTTATTAGGGAGACGCTGCTGTCCATCTCCTGGTTTGTTTCCCTCTGTCGCCTATTACGACACTGGAGACGATATTGGATAGCGGATATTCTTACTTCGTCTCTACAAGGTTAAAGTAGAAGTGACAAATGAACGTCTAGTCCACTTAAAGGTGGTTATTGAAAGCATTTCAATCTTTTTAGTTATTTGAAGTCTCTATAAGTAAACTAAGAAGTACTGATATGACCATACATGGTTCAATAAATCTATACATATAAATAAAATTGAAGTATCTGTCTGTAATATCGAAATAGCTGCCTTATCTTGAGCTGGTGGGGGGGTGGGGGGGGGTGGGGTTATTTGCATGCAACTGAGTCTTGCAGAACTATTTTTTAATTTTTTGTCTGTCAATTTGTTTTTCTGACTGTCTATATCAAAAAAAAGAAAAATTTATAAAATAAAAAGTTTTTGATTATCATATATCTAAACAGCGCTATATTAATAGATCTTCTCCAGACAAGCCGGGGCATTTTGCTAATATTACATAAGTAAACTCCGAATGTCTACATCATAATTTGTATGTGGTAGAGCCATGCTGCAGCTATATTTAGTAGTTTAGTTGTAGCACGAATGGGTCGGCTCGACCGGGGAAGGACCACGCTCTCACAGAATACCAACGTAAAATAGCAGCTTAACGCTGCTGTGTTTCGTATGGTGAGTGTAGAGAACCGGAGAATTTTTTTTACTGGAAACGAGGCATTCCATCTTAGTCTTCACGGGTGACAACGCATCTGCATTTTGATTCGTAACCGAGGATAGATGTAGATGTCTATGGACCACAGCAACCACTTACCATCAGGTGGACTGTGTGCCCGTTTGTCATCCTTATTCTATAAAAAAAAAACATCATAATCTACATCAACTACATAATAATGTTTATGCAAAAGGATTCGAGAGGAGGATGCGGCCCGGTTGACCGCCGAATACGAGCAAATGGTGGAAGGACTTCGCGAGGCGGCCGCTGCAAGGGAAACAGACACAATACTGGGAAACCCCATATTGCCCGACGAAGTTCTCAACGGTAAGTGTTATAGAAAGCATTATAGATTACTTATTTAAGTCTTAAAATCTCTTAAGTGAACATTATTGTTTACGCCCGAACGCTGATTTCGGGATTGACGTTAGAGGGCGCGCCGCTCGGCGATACCGGTTTGAAATTAGGCCGAGCGTGGCAAGTGGCGCGCGGGTCGCAAGCGCGTCAGTCGTCCATAAGCGGTGCTAACGATAGGCACGCTGTATTCTGCTAGATGTGCTAATGTCTGCACGCTGTTAATTTTGTGCGGGAACCGCGGAATAGTTAGGGCTTCTAGTAAATATCCTGTCTAGGAATTATAACGCGCATTCCCTGTTTGGATAGCCTTTCCCGGGACTTATTGGGTCCGACTCAGAATCTGTATAGTGCATTCGACAATATTAGCTAGTGCGGCCTCTGTATTCTAGAACTAACTGTTGCAACGCGAAACGGTAGTGACCTTTGATCCTGTAAACTCCGTGTGCGTTTTGTGAGTTAACCTTATACCCAGCGATAGTTAGTGGCTCCTGTAAGCTAGTTAATCGTACGATAGAGTTAAATGACTGTCATCGTGACGAGAGAAGAAAGTGACTGTGGGCAACCTCGGAAGGCCTCCTCAAGTTGGAGCGGTGTCGACGCTCGGGCTGCTGCCGACGGCCAAGGTCTAGGTTCAATCACCATCAGTCACACCCAGATACACATCACATCACTTATTTCCCTTTCACTACACAACCACATGTGACCTGACCGCCTCCGAAGGGACCAGTCGCCTTGGATATAGGTAAGTGAACTCCGCCTAATTCCTCTGCCGGTCGACTGGCCGTAGTATAGAACGCTCCCCCATATATTTTAGTGTAATTCGAGAGATTCCACGTGGCCACATTGAGGCCCGATTAGTCTTTTAGGACATCTTCTGGGTTCACGGTTTTGAAATACGTCATGAATGTTTGTAAAAAGAGTTTCATTTTACAATTTACAATATATGTTGTACAATTAAATATGAAAACATTTATAAAAAACATGGTAACGATCACCTCATCCTTAGGAGTTGTTGTCAATCAAAATGTTCTTCTCACCATAATTCAGTAATTAAGGTCAGAAAAGTTATTAAAGGAAATTTTTCCTTCCGGATTAAATGCACGCAAAAATAAAACAACTTCTCAGTCTCGAGAGCTTTAGCTTTAGGTTAGTTCAATTTAAAACAAAAAGTATTTATACTAATATTTGTTTCAGAGGTGGTACCTGGCAACATCAGAAACGCAGAGCACTTCCTCGGCTTCCTTAAGCGGTTTTTAGAGTACCTCAAGACCAGGCTGAGGGTACAGCACGTTGTACAGGAGTCCCCAGCAGGTATTTTTGCCTTTAGTTAGAAGGTGTTGGTAATTTTAATTTTTACTACACAGACATATGTACATGTTACTACCTACCTACCTACAAAATGAATGAATGACAAGAAAAACGAAAAAAAGAAAAACAGAAATCTGTGTGTAGCGCGATGACCAGAAAAAGCAGTTACAGTATGCGTTGTAGCATGCAATGATACAAGTGCAAATTTTCAAGTCAATCGGCCGTCTTCAAGTTGGTGAAAATTACATTAAAACTTTCCGGTACATAGATGGATAATAATAGATACACGCGTAGCTATAAAAACTTGTTAAAAAGTAGCCGCCATTTCATATGTTTTATTTACTCGCCCTATCGCTTTCCCTGTCGTCTGCGAACACGTTTTTTTAAATCAGATTTAAAGAAGAAACCTCTTTTCTTTTTGTATTTTTAATGAAACCGATTGCTTTCAAAATATATATTTCTGAAGGCTCATGTCGTCTCCAATTACGTATCCGTTGTCAGAATTAAAAAAATTGGCCGCTCTTTTGAAAACCCGTTATTGGACAAATTTATTTTGATATCTAAAGAGCCTCTATATAATGTCCTCCAGACCGAAGTTCGGTCACGGCGGCATGTCTCAACGTAGACTAGCCATCTGCGCAAGATTATAATGCCCGTTAAATGCGCTAACACCGGTGCACTCTCTATTCTCTCACTCTCATAGTCCGATGAGACGGCAATCCGACACCGCTAACTTCCCAATTCCGTGCTGCTACTGAGAATTTCTTCTCCCTATAATAATTTTTGATGACTATTAACCCTTATTATGATACCTTGTTAAAACGACAAATATTTTAATTTAGACTAATTTTCTTTTTAAAATAGTTAATTCCAATTCATTATTTCAGCATATTAGAATAAATCAATGTTTTATGAATATAGGAAAACTATTAGCTTTACAGTATAAGCAGTCACAAAACCGAAACTCCACTGGATCATAGGTAATTAATTAAAAAAAGGGGCTAGTTGAGGTACTGCGCTAGCTATATTATAGTTACTGTGTTCAGGTCTAAAACTTAAGCGAGCGCTTAGGGGGCTAAGTGCGTGTACAGGGGTGAGGGTATCACGGCTATATTTGCTAATTTTTTTTTATCATGAAGAGAGAATAGGGTGTGATAGGTGAACGAAATGGACGACTTTTACGTAGATTTTTATTAATTTAGTGTTTTTTTTTTCGTTATTTTATCACATCGATCTATCAATATACCGGCTGTTTGTTAATCGCTCCCGAAAACAAAGACCGACGATAGTACTTATACGATACCTTTGATGATTGGTCAGAAAAAAAATCTTTTCACAACGTTTTATTAGCTTGATTCACAATCACACTCCATCATGTTAGTACAGCTAAATGAAATGATAATTTCATAAAAAAATCATAAAAATACTTAAACATAAAACCAGCAGTGAAAATTATAATTTAAAATTAAAAATTTTGTACAGATGACTTCAATATGAGTTATTAAGAATAACTCAAAAACTATTGGTCTGACCTTAATCAAATTCATATGGGACCACACGAGAAGTACCAGCTTTCAAATAAAAAAAGAATCATCCAAATCGGTACACCCAGTAAAAAGTTATGAGGTAACGCACATAAAAAAAACATACAGTCGAATTGAGTACCGTCTCCTTTTTGAAAGTCGGCAGAAAATTAAATCAGCTAACAATAGGGTCAATGTTCGCGCGGAATTGATGCAGAATACGCGCGGCCCGCAGCTAGCGATCGTACCATTACCTAATTATTTATAACACTTTTTTAAGTAGATTAGTTAGGTCTAAATACCTAACTTATCTACTTAGCCTACTATTTTGCCACTGTGCTAGTCTCCACCTAACCACTTTAATTCGAATTCACAGGTTAAATAAACCAAATACCTGGTTCGATTCCCTGCTTATGAAAAATTTACTTAAATGAAATTTTAACAACGATAGAGTCATGCTTTTTTATCCATCGTGTAGGTATGTTTATTATTCCGATGTATTCGGTTATGTACTTATTCAGATTAGTTAAGTACTAAGTTATTTAAAAAAAATTAGGTATGAAACAGCTTACCGATCTAAATCCTCCGTGTCCTTATGAGATTCAACAAGGCACATTAACATGTTGCCGTATACACGAGAATTATAAACGTACGCGTTAGGCATTAGGCAAACAAGGTGTTACGGACGGCGAAGAGAGCCGCCTCCCCGTCGCCCCCTCATATCACCTTACGCCCCGTGCACCCCGCACACCGCCCTGACATCACGTGAGGTCGCCGACCAATGAGCGCGCAGCACACCGCGTGAGAACACGCTCATGCCAAGACACCCGCCGCGGGAATATAAGAAAGGCCTTTTGTGTGGTTGTGTGTTGCGATTTATCTTCCATCTGCATTTTGTATATAATATATTAGTATAATAAAACAAACGGGTACCTCCCACTTCTGAAGAAGTGAATAAAACACTCTCTGATTACTGCTTACAATTTTATTCGCCCTGAGCCTTAACTTTAAACTCTAATGTACACTTATTTGGTATTATTCTATGTTTCGTAATTAAACAGTCTCTAATTACTGCTTACACTTTTATTCGCCCTGAGGCTAAAGTTTAAATTCTATTTACTATACACTTATTTGGTCTTATTCTGTATCGTAACTAACCCAACCGTCGCTCACGGCTTCCTCCTACTTAATGCCATCTTTGCCTCTTGCAACTGACCACATCCCCTCTCTTACTGTAGTATTGCCATTCTAATAAAGTAAATTTATCAATAAAATGTTAATTGCTTAAACTGAAACTATATTCTTATGAAATTGACTAAGTGAAAACCTAACAAACGCTATATAGCTTTACCTATTACACCCAAATTTTTCCCCCGTTAAAATATTCAGCCGGTTTAAAAATAGTAGCCAGTGTAATTACGCTTTGGTGGTACGAGCTATTGGTGGTATAAGGAAGCGTTGATAACATCGCAACAATAATCATGATAAATGTTTTGCAAGGCGGTGTCGGATTATTCGATTTGTTGGGCTATAGTATACTATTAGTACTGCCTCAGCCCTCGTGTAGTTAGGAATATTTTGAAAAGGAATACACGCATAAAAATGGTGAGATAAAAATCATAGTGTACTATTGACACGATATGAGACTTCGTGAATAAAATATAACAATGTAGTCGTGACTCGTTAACACAGGCTTTATCAAAGAATTAACGTCATTAATGTGATGGGCATAGCAGTTATAAAAAAGTAAAAAACTAAATGTAGCACAATCAACCGTGTAGTGGTGGTGTAAGAATATCCACTAGCACATATAGTTTTGTGGTTGTCGTAAGAGGCGACAGAGGGAAACATATCAGGAGATAGGCGGCGGCGTTTTGCTAATATCAATTAAAAAAAAACTGTGGTTGCCCACCTGCTTGGCAAACGTGGCAGTTATTGCAAATAATTAATAGAATCAGACGTTACTTTGCGGAAGTCCATTATATTAAAGTTGGCAAATATTGTTTGACTTATATTTCCTTTCTAGAAGGCAATCTAAGAGGAGGTCTATGTCCAGCTCTGGACTTTTGATAGTCCGTAACGGTAAAAGTAGTACGTAAATGTACGTCAGTACAAATGTAGCTATGAGATATATTTTAAGTTAGACTTAATTCTAGATATATTCGGCATGTCGGAATTCCGAATTGTCTTTGATCGGTTGTAGTTTGTAATAAATATTTCTTGGGCAGGCTTCCTGAAGGACCTGCTGTAATTTCTAATGTCTTTGGCAAGTTTCGTAAGGGCCTACTGTAGTTTGTAATGTGATTGGTAGGCTTCCTAAAGAATCTGGTTTGGTCCTTGGTAGGGTTGCTAAAGTATCTGTTGTAGTGTGTAATATCGTGGGCAGGGTTCCTGAAGGACCTGTCGGCGCGCGTGTGCATCGAGCGCAAGCCGCTGCGGTTCTGCGCGTCGCGGCTGGCGGCGCTGCTGCGCACGCTGCAGGTGCCCGACCCCACGGGCTTCGCGCCGCTCACGCTCATCACGCACCTCGCCACGCTCGTCGCCACCTACACCAAGGGCTTCGTCATCATCGTCGAGCCCTTCGACGACAAGACGCCCACCGTCTCCAACCCCATACTGCACTTCTCGTCAGTAACTACTTTACCTTTTTTTTTTGAAGTAAAATCTTCTTTAGAATCTTTCTGATTTGAAACTCTATGAACGAAAAAGCGACACTAAAAAGAGACGAACATATACATCTGTAGAATTTAGCCTGCGAAAGAATGTGATTGAGATTTATTTTAATTTTAATTATATAAACCACTCAGCATTCGTCTCATTCTCTCGAAGTTTAGTTTTCTGAAGGTTTTACTTCTACCGCGTGTGGACTGCACACATGTTTTTTTTAAATATAAAATTAGGGTAGCAAATGAGTACACAATCCACCTAATGTTATGTAGATGCTAGACATCTACATTCATCCTCGATTAAAAATCAAAATGCAGATACGTTTTCACCCATGAAGACTAAAGTGGAAGCCTCGTTTTCAGTAAAATGATCGACCCATTCGTGCTACAACCATAATATGCTGCAATGTAGCTCCACCCACACGTCACCTTACTGCTTCATTACGACTTGTTGACATTAATAAGTCTGGCAATAATAAGTCTTTGATTTAGATTTGAAATGTCAACAAGTCCTAATGAAGTAGCAAGTTAGACGTGTGGGTGGCGCTATATTGCAGCTATATTATGGTTGTAGCTAGGCCTTGCATTCGAATATTAAATCTGCTATATTCGAATATTCGACCAATTATCTGAAAGTCAAACTCGTAATATTGATGTACACAAAATATTACCTTTAAAGTTCACGCATGACATTTCGAAGGCTGGATTTATTATAGAGTTAAATGGATTCATTTTTCTTCGTAATTGTACAAGTCTAACAAAGCTTGCCGTCAGTTAAGCACTAAACGCTTGGCCTCGACCAACGATCAGGACGTACCGTCAGCGCGTACGGTACGTGCTGACCGTCGGTCAAGCACTAAATCCAGCCTTAGGGCGCGCTGAGCCAGTGTTTCGCCCGACCCGAGAGGGTTCGTCAAAGCTCGGAAGCGATCGAAAACTCGAGAAGTAGTGCGGCGGTGTTGATAGTTTTTTGCGTGGTTATAATTTTTTGTTGTTTCTTATCGAGGTTTTAGTCTTTTTGAGTGAGTTTTGTGAGTTAAATTTTTTAGGAAGTCACCCACCAGAAAAGAGATTCTCGATAACTATCTTCAAGAAGAACAGAATAAAATGGGTTTGATCCTAGACTGTAAAACTAGGTGGAGCAGTTTAGCCGATATGATTACTAGATTTTTGGGATTAAAAGACCCTATATTGAAGACTCTTATTGATTTAAAGTACTATACCACGTTTAGTTCAGGTGAGCTGGCTTTACTGCAGGAATTGTCCACTTCTTTAAATATTGTAAAGGCAACAGTAGAGGGGCTGCGCTGTGCCAAGAAAATGCAAATCTGCTTACTGCGGAAACAGCCCTTCAATTTATGGTTGTGAAACTTGAAAAGACAAACAGTTTTATCAGTGACAGGCTACTCGAAGCGCTGAAGAATAGTATTGCAGAATGGAATTCCAGAGACGTCTACCAAATTTAATGTGCACATTAAAATATCTCCACAATCCCAGTAAATATTACGCAGAGCCACCCTCGTCTACCTTTCCATCACCAGGCAATAATATTATTACAGAAGTAATAACTGAGATTAACGAGAGATACTTTTCTAAAAGACAGAACTCAGATAATGACGAAGATGACATAACCTTAGTTCAACTTCAGCAACGGCAACGCCAACATCAGCAACGAAACGAATCACACCAGGAAACATCTGAAATGACCTTTAAAGAAGAGTTACAAAAAATGATAAATGACACTAATTCCGCCACTCCTTCAATGTCTACAGCAAATTTATCAGATAGAGAAGAGTTAGAAACGTCAGTACGAATGCAGATGGCGCTATTTGACAGAGGAGGTCATAGACAAGTCCATTTGAGCCAAGAGTGTGACTTCCTTATGTGTATACCACCTACAAGTGTAGGGTGTGAAAGGTGGTTTTCATCAGCAAAATACATTTTTGCAACCATTTAAGATGTTCTTTAAAAGATGATTCCCTAGACGCACTAAGTTTCCTTAGGTCCCACTTCCAAGGAAAACGTTGAAGATTTATTTTTATTGTAGGATAGGCTTGCAATTGACGACAATCATGCTTAGAAGAAAGCAGTGATGAGGTCTAGGTTGCAATGCGCTTGCGTAGAAGATACCTATTCACTCTTGCTTTGAAGGTACTTGAGTTGTACGTGTAGTAAGTGTAAGAATAAGCCAAAGTAAGATGATAAGATTAAAACGTATTTTAATTTTGTACAATGTAGCGTTGATCTGATTCTGATCTCATAAATTCTAATACTAATTAATTATTTGTATCCTATCACAGTTGAAAATCTTTCTTTTAAAATTTTTAAGATTTGTAAGTAAGCAATATGTAAGTTTGTTATGTGCATCATGTGCGACAGTACGAAATACCAACAATAATGTTAAGAATTTAGTATGTACTTTATTTGTAGTTGACTATTTGTTTTTATTATTATATAATTATTATTACAATACCCAGATCTCGATTTATAAGACTGTTGCGGTTGTCTTGTTAAGCACCAACTTTTTATAGTTTTTTGTAGAACTGCATTAGTTCCTTAACAGTGAAATTCCAAACAGTTATTTAATTTTTAACTAAGATTTTGTTTTAATTGAGAGAAATTAGACTCTAAGTAAGAAATTGGCTATTAAAAACATGATTATTATGACAACTTTTGTTTTTTTTTAATTATTCAAATATTATTCGAATGATTCGAATAATACCCGAAAAAAATCGAATATTCGAATACCATAAATTTTTGAATATTTGCAACGCCTAGTTGTAGCACGAATGGGTCGATCATTTTACTGAAAACGAGTCTTCCATCTTAGCCTTCAGGGGTGACAACGTATCTGCATTTTAATTCTTTATATGTATGCTACTAGACCGCTAATAGAAAAGTTGCATGTTTTTAATTTTTTTTTTTGAAAGTTTGCTAAAACTTATTAAGAAAAATTAAAAAAAAATAATAATTGATTTCTTATGTAATTTTACAATTAAAAATAGTTTTCCTAAATTGTAAATTCAAACGCCATTGACGTTATTATATCGCTTTAGTAATGCCACCGCATAGCGAAATGATAAAATACTCACGTTTACGTTATATTTAAAATTATTTAACTGACGTAAAAAAATCTATTTATGTTTGACTATTTTGTTATGACACATGGTGATCCGAATAAGGAAAATATAAAAGTATAGCATGATTGCGATTGGCTCAGATCCTCAACGGTATAATGGCGTCACAACCAATCAAGTTTTTTTTTCATTCTAATATTTAAATATACTTTAAAAGAATTATTTTGTCATTAATATAAAAAAAAATGCAACTTCTCTATTCAGAACAAAATCTGTATTATAGCTAAGCACGGGAGCGAGCGGGTATCAGACACGGTAAATATGCCACGTAGTTTTATTTTTATTTAGGACAGTTACTGTTTTTAGGCACATCGAAATAATAAATACAAACTTATCTGAAATAAACTTCAAATGACGTGCGCACATGAATAATGACACCATATTCTTAGTCACATTAAACAAAATCCTTTATCGATTAGTCTTAATTAGTCTTTTAGAAAATTGACCGTAACTTGGTGCACAATGTATGATGGCCGCAGAGCCTATCTAGTAGTATATAAGTCTTTGATACATATGAATAAAATTGACGTGTCTGTATGTAAAATTGAAATAACTGGCTTCTAGAGGGTCGAGGTCGATCTTGGTAGAGGGTTATTTGGATGCTATTGAAACATAAATAACCATTTTTAACTGTGGAATGTATGTCTGTCTGTCTGTCCGGGCTTATATTCGGAATGGCTGAACCGATTGTAATGAAACTTCACGGACAGATAGGTGAGCACAGTTAATAGCGATCTATATATATCAGAGAAACTTAGAGATTTAAAAAAAGTGATAAAGTAAAAAAATGGTCTTTTGTTATCGTTAAGAAATTCTATCCATACGAAGCCGGGCTTGGGGTTGTTAGTTTTTAATATAATTTTCTTTTTCAGATGTATGGACTCCTCCATAGCTATGCGACCCGTATTCGCCCGTTTTCAAACAGTCATAATTACCTCTGGTTAGTATTTTTATTTACTGTAACAACTTTATTAACATATTTGTTGTAGATTCAAAATAACAGTGTTTGCAACACTGCTGTGTTCCAATCTGAAGGGTAGAGAAGGTTAGAGTCAGTATAATTACATCATTCATCATTGATCAACAAAATGTAAAAACTTGTAGAATAACTTTCCAATTTCATAAAGTATTGCCAAAAGATATCTTTAATTGTTTTAATACTACTGATGTTAAGAAAATTGCAGATCTGTGTGGGAATTCCTTTAAGGTTATTGCCTCCATAATAGATACAATTACACCTAATATAGCTATTATTTTTATTACAAGCATCAAATATAGTATGTTTCCTGTTTTAATTAAACATAGGAAGATGATATATTTATTTAAATCTAGTAGTACATTACTACCACGCATGTACTAATAGTAGTACATACGTGGTAGAGCCACGCTGCATCTATATTAGTGGTATATTTGTAGCAGGAATGGGTCGGCTCGACCGAGGAAGGATCACGCTTTCACAGAATACCAGTGTAAAATAGCAGCGTAACGCTGCTGTGTTTCGTATAGTGAGTGTAGAGAACAAGAGACCTTTTTTGCTGGAAAAAAGGAATTCCATCTTAGTCCTCACGGGTGACAACGCATCTGCATTTTGATTCTTTATTGAGGATAGATGTGGATGTATATGGGTCACAGCAACTACTTACCATCAGGTGCACTGTGTGCTCGTTTGTCACCCTGTATTATAAAAAAAATACCCCGCTATTCTATAACTCTGTACCTATTTCAATATTATTGTCTAAATCAAATGTTAAGGTTTTTTCATTTATTATCTGTGAATGGAAGAGTTCAGAAGATGCTTTGTGACCTTTCCAAGGTCTTCGACTGTGTTCACCATGGTGTTTAATCAGAAAACTACAACGTTATGGTATTTAAACATTGCGCTTAAAGACATTATTTCGTATCTAAATAACATATACCTAACAAAAATTATTAATGGTAAAAATTCGTCCAGTCGCCTGCATCAATGGGGGTTCCTCAAGGTTTAATTCTGGGCCCATTTCTATTCCTTTTCATTTATTCATTCATTTATTACAGCCTATCAGACTGTATTAAAGTAGACTGTAATAAATTAATACCTTTGGTATGACCAATGTTCAGCAGTGGAATTGTGAAGAGCTGTTATGAATAAATGAATGAATAATTGTCGCATGAACATAGGTCTCTGTAGATTAAATATAGAGTAGGTAAGAAATTTGTATACATAGTTGCCACGCTTGGCAGGCGGGTTGGCAACCGTAGTTTTTAATATTATTCTGAGTTGTAATCAGGAATATGCTGATACTATCTCTTACGATACCCACTGTATTATAAAATTGTTGATTCTCTTACATCTCCCATACACAGCGGTTATTCTTGTTTGTAGTCTATATTAATTACTTACCTTACCTTGACAAGCGATCTTGCAAGTAAATTAACAACACAGCAGGAAGTATGACCGGAGCTTTGCAAAGGCCCACGTACCAGTAGTGAACTGCTTACAAGTTGATTGAAGATATTTTAAAATTAATTTCAGGAACGCTGTCGCCTTTGGACATGTACCCTAAGATCCTGGACTTCAACCCGGTCGTCATGAGCTCCTTCACCATGACCCTCGCAAGACCTTGCCTCTTGCCAATGGTTAGTATTCGAGTTTTCAAATGTTATATAATTTTGATTAACAGTGATAGTATCATCCTTTTTTTAGATAGTGTCGAAAGGCAGTGATCAAGTGGCCATCTCGTCCAAATACGAGACGAGGGAGGACGTCGCTGTGATAAGGAACTACGGGCAGCTCCTAGTCGAGGTATGTGTTTCTATCTAGATTATTGCTTAATAGTCCTCCCTGTCTAGTTAGAACCACACTGTCTTTTCGGCTATTCTGATTTTCAACCGACTTCAAAAAAGGTTTTCAAATATTTCGAATGTGTTTTTTGTATGCAGGTTAAGCTATATTTTCGCCAATTGTAAACCAATTTCTATGATCTGTTTTTATTTAAGTGTTGTGCGCCACTATTAATGTCCTGTACATGGCAACACTAGTTACCACTAGTGCCCTCTAGTATCGAGTAGCAGAACTAGGAGAGTCAAGATCGTTCTAGAAATTTCGGAACCGATATGTACTCGAACATTCTAGATATTTCTACAGTAGAAGATTCTTGGAATTTGGAAACTATCTGAGGTCCTATATAAGGCGGGTATAGACCACGACCGAGTCAGTATTGAATTGGCGATACAAGGGAATACTGAAGCGATATAACTGCGAACTAAAGTGATCAATAGTACAGTTGTGTTTTATTATTAGTGTGGTTTTAAGTTGTAATTAGTGTTCTGTAATTAAAGTGTCAATTTTGGTAATTCAATCGGCAGTTTTAATTGTCTCGAACCCCTAGCTCTTAACAATAGGTTATACCTTGGGAGTATACTGCCTTTTCAATTTGAACAAACAAAACCCTCCTAAAGGTGGACATTTTTATATGTAACTAATTAAATAAAATTTTAGTTGTTACCTTGAACTTGTGATATTGCTTAGCCACTCAAAAGGATCAAATAATTAAACTTAAAAAAAAAGTAAAAATCGAGTTCAAATAACTAAAAGGAATAAAATAATGTCCATATAAATTAATTGTTTGGAAGTCGGGATCAATAAAAGCCCCGATTTGGAAGTTATTTTTAGTTTACACGTGGTAAAGCCATGCTGCAGCTATATTAGTAGTATAGTTGTAGCACGAATGGGTCGGCTCGACCGGGGAAGGACTACGCTCTCACAGAATACCAGCGTGAAATAGCAGCTTAATGCTGCTGTGTTTTGCATGGTGCATGGTTGCATGAGGCATTTCATCGTATTCCATGGACTTTGTGCTCTTTTGTCACCTTTATCCCATAAAAAGATCCTGCTTATTGTTATATTCTGTTCTATCCCGGTTCAGATATCGGCGTGCGTGCCGGACGGTGTGGTGTGTTTCTTCACTTCCTACTTGTACCTGGAGAGTGTCGTCGGCGCTTGGTACGACCAAGGTATGTACCATCATCTACTGTTACTGCCAACTTATACGTTGTAGAGCCCCGTTGCAGGTGTTCCGCTGCAGCTGCTGTAGTGGAGACCTCACTCGCAGAATACTACCGTAAAAAAAGCGGTATAATGTTGCTGTGCTGCGTTTGCTGCTGCTATAATGCTGGTGTGGTGAGTGTTTAGATTTATAACAAAGCTTAAATTGTATATATCTACATTTCCTCATTTTATTTCGAAATTCTTATTTTTAAATGTATATAATTTTCTTATTTTTTTCACTTTGATATAGTACATGGCACCGGAGATATTATAAGAAAGTTACCTACCATCGTTAAATATTTAAATTTTGTTTACGATCTCAAGAAATAAATAATTAAATTATAACAACATTTTATTATTTTTTGACGTCAAGGCCATATCATATTTAGGGTTCCGTAGTTACACAACAAGGAACCCTTATAGTTGCATATAGCATTCACCAGACGAAATGCAGAAGCAGAGCTTCTACTTTACGCTGGTCTTCTGTGAGGTCGTGGTACCACCCCGGTTCGAGCCGACTCATACATGCAACATTAAACGCTGCCGCGTGGCTCTATCCGTTAAAATATTATTAAAATAATATTTATATTTTACTTCCCACCTTTTAACTAGGCCCGGCGGTGCGCTGCAACAATGCACGCGCAGGGTCGCCATGTAATGTAGGAAAGGTGATATGAATAGAGACGTGTTGTTGCTACTAGAACATTAATTAAACTGCCCAAACTTATTCTACTTTAACCCTAATATATACTGTCTTGGGGGCTACACTACTGTCATCTAATAAATTCAATGTTTCCCGTGCATTACGGCAAAGTAGCGCCGTCCTGTTGGAACCATATGTTTGTGAGGTCCATACCATCTTAAGTTTCTTTGACGTATAGGCACTGTTTCATCATCGATCATCGACCCGGTTGTTTCAAATTAATAAATAAACGACGGATTGTGGACTCTGCAGGACGACCATGAATGTCATAAATTGGATGCAGCGCACGTAACGTTAGGTGAACAGAGTACTGATCTTGATAGGATATTTTAACAAGTTTGAAGCCTTACATGGTGAAACGTCAAGATTAAATAAGTATTCCTGTCAAATTTCACAGCTATCACTTTACCAAGATGGCCGCTATACGCAGTCAAAAATCCTTAAGTTTTTTTTTTGTATTTTTAAAGAATAGCCATAAGGTCTCTATTAAACTAATGCTATTTCAAGGATCCATGCATTACCGGACAACCAGTATAATAAGTGTCATTAACAAAATATTTTTAAACATGTTCGTTCCAAATTAGATGTACCTACTTTTTATTAACAGTTCATTCAATAAGTATTCCTAAGTATTATAAAAAGTAACTTTTGGAATTGTTGTTTCTTGGATATTCTGCCTTTTAAAATCATTAACTATCATATTTTTGTACTCTCCATGTGATCAACGCATGTAATTCCAAATTTAGAAATATAATTTTAATATAATTTTTAAACATTATAAATTAGAAATGCCCGTTATTTTGAACCAGTTTATTTTTTAATCAATTGCTTCCAATAATGATTTCTTATATTTACGCGAACACTACACATTGAATAAAACTACTTTTACGGATTTTATCGCGTTTAATTAAGTGATTTTATATTCCCGACGTTTCGGTTGCTTTCCAGCAACCGTGGTCACGGGGGACTGAGGTGATTGCCGTCCCGATGTCAAAGTTAACCCGAAGTACCTTCAGCTTTTTAATTATTAATTTTGGTCCGATCTGTGATTCAAGACACAGTTAGTTCATTCTGCGTAGATCGGACCAAAATTAATAATTAAAAAGCTGAAGGTACTCCGGGTTAACTTTGACATCGGGACGTCAATCACCTCAGTCCCCCGTGACCACGGTTGCTGGAAAGCAACCGAAACGTCGGGAATATAAAATCACTTAATTAAACGCGATAAAATCCGTAAAAGTAGTTTTATTCAATTGCTTCCAAAATCAAAATAGGTCCTTGTGTCATGTAGAAAGTAACTGTCATCAAAATTCAAAAAGAATGATCGCCATTGTGAAATATTTTTTTGGACTGATTGTTTTTTAAATCAATATCTGAGATTCCATGTGGTCTAAGAACATAAATTGGTCTTCGGAACTGCAAAAAGTGGCCTCCATATTAAAAAATGTGTTTGTACAGATGCCTTTAAAATTACTTTCGGGGAGTCCAAGTGGTCTTAGAAATGAATTCATCGTAAAAACTGAAAAAAAAACCCGACGTTTTGAAATTCGTTTTTTGGACTGATTTCTTTAAAAATCAATATTTCAGAATCCAAATGAGCTAATAATATAAATTCGTCGTGAAAACTGTATAACGTGGCCGCCATTTCGAAAACTCTACATAACTATTACGTCGACAGTTTCATGTAACATTATCGTTCCTTTTCTATTTTGTAGGCGTGGTCGCGAATCTTCAGAAACACAAACTACTGTTTATAGAGACGCAAGACTCCGCGGAGACGAGCTTCGCGCTCATCAACTACATCAAGGTAAGTTACATAGCCATCTAAGAGCAACCACTCTCCATTTTTTTTATAATACTGAAGTGATAAACTATTTTTTTCTCGGGAAAACGTCGCTGAGTACCGGAACAAACTTGTTTCTGAAGTCGAGTCTTTGCTGAACAGTCTCGGATTGGGGGCGACTAAATTTAGTCCAGTTTAATCCTCAGAAGACTCAAGTTTGCGCGTTTACCGCTAAAAAGAACCCCTTTGTCGTATCTCCTCAGTTTCAAGGCACTCCCCTTCTTGCCTCAGCCAGTATCGGAATCCTCGGAGTCGACATATCGAGTGACGTGCAGTTTCGTGGTCACTTGGAAGAGAAAGCCAAATTGGCCTCTAAAAAGCTTGGCGTGCTCAGCAGAGCGGGACAGTATTTCATGCCGGCACACCGCCTGCAACTTTACAAGGCGCGGGTTCGGCCTCACATGGAATACTGTTCTCATCTTTGGGCAGGGGCTCCCCAGTGTCAGCTTCTTCCACTTGACCGCATCCAGCGCAGAGCGGCTCGAATCGTCGACGACCGAGTCCTTTCCGATCGGCTCGATTCATTGGCACTGCGAAGAGATGTTGCATCCCTTTGCATTTTCTTTCGCATCTATCACGGGGAGTGCTCTGAGGAATTGTTCGGATTAATCCCAGCCGCCAAATTTCACGAACGCACATCGCGGCAGAACTCCCGATACCATCCACACCATCTGGATTATTGGCGGTCCACCACTGTGCGATTTAGAAGATGTTTTCTTCCTCGCACGACTTCCTTGTGGAATCGATTACCATCAGCGATTTTTCCGGACCGATACGACTTAGGGACCTTCAAGAAAAGAGCGTACTCCTTTTTAAAAGGTACTTCGATATACCAACAGTCAACTTGGTACCGCTGATGGGACTGCAGTACCGCCCAAATTTCGACGGAATCAAAGGCTTTCTCATAGTCCACATACGCCAGACATAGTGGCAAATTGTACTCCTCAGACTTCTGTACAATTTTCCGAAGGGTATGTATGTGGTCTATGGTGCTAAAGCCCTTTCGGAAACCGGCTTGTTCGGGAGGCTGGAAGTCGTCAAGTCTGCGTGCGATACGATTCGTAATGAGTAGTTTTAAAGGTGTTGCGGTTGTTCATGGGCGGCGGTAGTCACTTACCATCAGGTGAGCCGCATGCTCGTTTGCCCCCTCTCCTATAAAAAAAATTACAATCTACCTGATAGCAAGTGCCTACTGCGATTCATGGACGTCATGGGGAAATCGATATTCTTACAAAGCCACTAAACGGTACGGATTTGATATGTTTATTAGCTTAGGAATGGTTCAAGTATTGTCAATATTATTACATGCGCAAAAATTTAACTCATGGCTGGTAATGAAATAATGAACTTGAATCGCGATTTTACGTAGACTATTCCTATGTGGGCGAACGATTGGTGCGGTGTGTACACAATATATGCTACCGTGTAGCGCGGTTGTGTAGGACTATTTATTGCCTCATATCGTCCCGTGAGTGTGTTATAAGAGGCGACAGAGGGAAACAAACAACAAGAAAATACCCTATCTCCAACAGAGGCAAAGTTCTAGGCTGTAATGAATGAATGCGCAGACAATTGACTATAAAAAATTTACTTACCACTAAGTTGTCACGCGTAACTGCCTGCGTGACTAATCGTGAGGTCCCGAGTCGAAATTAAATCAGTTATTAGTTATTTCTGTCAAGAGATTTCCTAAAGAAATTACATAAAGTTGTCGGTACTGCGCCTGAATTTTCTTCGGTCGTGTCGGATTTCTTACCATCGCATTATGAGAGAGGGAATTGTGAGTGCATTTATGCTTGCACACACGCTCGTACTATAATCCTGTCCTGCGCAGATGCTAGTCTCTGTTGAGACTGGCCACCACGACCGAAACTGTGTCTGGAGGACATTATTATTATTTAGTCTAGTTAAATGGGTCAAATGTTACAATTTTCAGAGTTGACATCAAATAACTGAAAATAAAAAAAAATCGGCACCTCTGTATTTGAAGTTCGGGTTTTGAAGTTTAATTATTTTTATGTGTTGGCACTGATTTTAAAAGCTGTTAATGTGGAAAATTCGTTTTTTTCGGCTATCAACTGTCAAACTGTGAACATTACGTAGTGATCGTCTCCGCATTTTAATTAGTAACAATAGTACAAAAGTGACCGATCGGAAAAAAAACTGCACTAAAAATAGCAAACAAACAGTGTTGATAAATTTAAACTAATAATCCTTTCGTGGGAAGTGCTAAATACAGTGAAATAACCATCGAAAGCTTGCAAAATTATTTTGAAGTTATTAAATACCATAGACAAAAATTGGAAGTCCAACTACTATCAAAACTCACAAAAGTTGCCAGATCAAGCCAAAACCTACCAATTTGGTAGAAAATCGGTACCAAGTATGGACGAACAAAAATGTTATTAGCCACTATAAAGGAAGAGATTGAAAAACAAAATGATAAACAAACCCAAACCATAACCGAGACTATCAGCAAAACTATTGAAGAGCAACTGTTACCAATAAAAAAGGAAAACGAAGATTTTGCTACTAAGATCGAAAGTAAAATACCTGGAACTTGAAACGAGGCAAAATAATGTCTTACTGGACGGGGTTGAAGAAACAAAATAACAATCTAGAATTAATGAATACTGTAATAGAACTATGCAACGTTCCCTGCACAACAGAACAAGCGGAGGAAGAGAAACACGACTGGGATAAATGGGAACTTAGCAGCATATACAGAGTTGGGAAAAAGACGAAAGGCAAGCAAAGACCTATAAAAATGTCATGTACCCTAACATGGAGAAGAAACGAAATCTTGAAAAAGAAGAAAAAATTCCCAGAAGGAGTCTACGTAACAGAAGATTTGTCTAAAGAGGAACTGGAAGAAAGAAAGGCTCTTATACCAAAAATGAAGGAAGCCAAAGCATCTGGAAATTATGCAATAATAAGGAATGGCAAACTGATTATACGAAACAAAATGGAACCTGAAAAGAGGAAGAGAGCCCAATCCACCCACCTTCTACTCCCCCGGACAACTTCAGCAAAGCCCCTGGAGAACCCAAGTTATACCAACCTGCTAAAATGTCGAGAATTAACCCAGCAGAAAGAATGAGAAGACAATCAAAGTCAAATATAGAGGAGACATCAAAAAACTAGAAATAGGCGGTAGCCGAAATAAAAACAGTAAAACAACGAATACCACCAAAACCAAATTAACATTCCTGAACCCGGCTGGTCCGCGTGGGAATCACCCACCAACCTACAAAAAACCAAACAAACATACACTAGAAAACAACAAGAAAAACAACAACATTAGCAACAAAGAAAAATGTAATCCCCCCATTAAAGAAAGTATCCAAATTGCAGCACTTAATGTTCTAACCCTAAAGTCGGACGAGAGTCTAACAGAACTAAATAATGCACTAAATAATACCAAATGGGACATTCTTTGTCTGAGTGAAGTAGTGGAGAAAACATACAAGAATATGAGGACTTCCTTCTATATCACATAGGCGAAAAAGAAGGCCAAAATGGGGTAGGATTTATTCTCAAAAAGCACATGATACAATATATTGATGAGTTCATAGGAATTTCAGTCCATTTAGCAGTGCTAAATATAAAATTATCCAATTACGAAGACATGTGGTCTATTGTGCAAGTTTACTCTCCAACTGAACAAGCGGATAAAAAGACAATAGAGACATACGCACAAACACTTAATAGTGATGGGAGATTTCAACGGCCAGACAGGTGAAAGCTTGCCAGAAGAAAGACGTGTACTCGGACCTTTTACATATGGAACTCAACAAAGCGAAAATGGAGAAAGACTCATTTGATTTATTTATTTATTTAAAAAGAAAGGTTCAAGGAAATGGACATGGGTATCACCAGGAGGCAAATACAAAAATGAAATTGACTTTGTTCTCACCAACAAACCAATGTGTTTCACCGATTTAAATGTTGTGAACACATTTAATTTCAACACGAACCACATTATGGTCAGGGCAGATCTCACACTATAAAGACACAAAGACCCAGGAGGAACTTTGATGGTAAGTTGAGTATTCAAAACCTAAAAGAAGCTGCAAATAATCTGACCGAAAGATGTGCATACTTTGAGAAAGAAACCAATAACCTAGATATTCAAAAGAAATACGACTGGTTTAAGACTTCAATCAAACTAGCAAAAAGTACCTGTACTAATAAAGAAAAGAAGAAAAGCTATTTATCAATATAAACAAAAAATCTACTCGAAGCAAGGAATCAAGTAATCAGTTCCAAAGACACAGAGAATCGTAGAAAACGCATATCAGAGCTGAGTAAAGATATAAAACAGAGTATGAGAAGGGATAGAAAGCAAAACAGATGAAAAAAATAGAAGAGCAAATAATCAGAACAGGAGGAAAAAAAGCATATAAAGAACTGTCAGAATCAAAAGATTGGGTTACAAAAGTTAGAAATGAGAAAAGAATAGAACAAAATAGAAGATCAGACATAAAATATATTACTACATCATACTATAAACAATTATATGAGAACACACAAGAAGAACCTGGCGAATTAATAGTACTAAACGATGATGAGGATGAGAGCATATCCTATATACTGCAACGAGGGGTAAAAGTATCATTAGAGTTCCAAAGTAAAGACAAAGCCAAAGTAAAGGACAGATGACATTGAAAATGAAATCCTATTAATGGCAAAAAATGTCCTATTATCAGTTATCACGAAACTATTTAATGAAATTTTCGCTAACGAAACTATCCCGATACAATGGACGCAATCTAATATAGTATTGTTATATAAAAAGGGTGATAAACTTAATATAGGTAATTATCGCCCGATCAGCCTTATGTCCAACTTATACAAAGTATTTGCGAAACTATTGCTAAGAAGACTGGAAAGAAAATTAGGCAACAACCAACCAGACAAGCAAGCAGGTTTTCGTAGAGGGTACTCAGTATTGGACCATATACATGTTATGAGGCAGATTATAGAAAAATCCCATGAATAAAACCAATTATATTACATGGCATATATAGACTACAGCAAGGCTTTCGACTCTTTATTTCACAATAAGATATCGCAGGCCCTAAAAGAACAAGGTATCGAAAGCAAGTACATAAGGTACTGAGAAAGATATATAAGGACAGTACAGCATGCATACAGTTAGAAAATAAAGGAAAACCATTTAGCATACAAAAAGGTGTGCGACAGGGCGATCCGCTAACCCCAATACTTTTTTCTGCGGCCCTTGAAATGATATTTAGAAGACTAAATTGGGACGGATATGGAATCAACATCGATGGAAGTTGGTTAACATATTTAAGATTTGCGGACGACATAGTTCTTTTTGCAAAAACCCCACATGAACTGAATGTCATGGCAAATGATCTGGCATTATAAAGTCACACGGTGGGATTGAAAATGAACATGGAGAAAACGAAAGTAATGTCCAACGGACCTAACAATGAAACCATCACGGTTGGCCAACGTGAGATAGAATACGTGGACACCCACAGACAACATGGAAAAAGAAATCAACAGGAGAGTAGCAAACGGATGGAAAAGATATTGGAGCATGAAGGAAATAGTGAAAGATTAAAGAACTGCATATGTCGATTAAATCTAAAGTATTCAACATATGCATTCTCCCTGTATTGATGTATGGATATCAAACATGGGCTCCTACTAAATTAAACAGTAAGAAATTAAACATATGCCAGCATTCGATGGAGCGAAGCATGATGGGATTCAGGAAAAAGGATGGAGTCAGGTTAGAAGACATTAGGAAAAACACAAAGGTTCGGGACATAGGAACAAAAATCAGGAAATTAAAGTGGAAATGGGCTGAGCATATAAGTAGAGGGAATGAAAAGTGGAGCAGGAAGGTCACAAAATGGTACCCCAGGAATGGCATAAGAAAGAGGGGAAGAACCCGCCAAAGATGGGAGGACGACCTGGTCAAATTCGCGGATGTGACTTGGAGCCGGGTTGCCAAGGATAGAAACGAGTGGTAAAGGTTGCAGGAGGCCTTTGCCGATTGGTAATCAACAGAAGACAATCTAGATTTTATATGACTTACATATATAGAAATTGTATTACGTACTGTTGAATAAATGGCTTTATTATTATTATTATTAATGTGGAATTATTTAGTTTTTCCATCAAGAAAGTGTCAGCTGCCCGGAGTCAGGAAGTTGGCGGTGTCTCACCCCCGTGCCTCGGAAAGCACGTAAAGCCGTTGGTACTGCGCCTGATCTCTCTCCGGTCGTGTCGGCCTACCCTCCCATCGGACTGTGAGAGTGAGGGAATAGAGAGTGCACCTGTGCTTGCGCATACACTTTGGCACTAAAATCCTGTCCTACGCCGATGGCTAGTCTCCGTTGAGGCGGGCCGCCGTGACCGAAATTCGGTCTGGAGGACATTATTATTATTATTATTAATGTGGAAAATATTTAATTGCTTTTGGTTGTTTGAAGTTGATTTTTTTTTTTGAGCGCTATGTACATTTTAAGTTATGCATAAACCAAACAAGAATCATATTGAACTTATTGTAAGAACACGCACTCACACACATATGTATCTAAAATTAGTTGAAATCACCGACACGGTAATAAATTATTTTTATGTGGTTTTGAGTGTGTGAACTTTTATGGGTCTTGAAGAAAGACAGATGTGTGCGTGAGTATCAACAATGGTGTCACTTGAGATGTATGCAGCGCTCCGTGTGAGCGTGGTGATTGCGTACGTGTGTGCATGTGTGCATGTGTGTATGTGTGCTTGTGTGTGGAGGCGTGCGAGAGCGGGCGCGGCGGCGTGCTGCTGGCGGTGGCGCGCGGCAAGGTGTCGGAGGGCGTGGACTTCGAGCAGCATCTCGGCCGCGCCGTGCTCATGTTCGGCATCCCCTACGTCTTCACACACAGCCGCATCCTCAAGGCGCGTCTCGAGTACCTGCGCGACAACTTCCAGGTCTGTACTGAACTCTTTTTACTTTAATTACGTTTTTTTTTTAATTTTAGCTTGCTTGTGTTACAACATACTGTCATATTTCTACGTGGTAGAGCCATGCTGCAGTTATATTATGGTTGCGACACGAATGGATCGGCTCGAACTGGGGAGGACTTTACTCTCACTGAATACCAGCGTGAAAGAGCAGCTTAGTGCTGCTATATTTCATATGTGAATGTGTAGGGATTCTACCTTAGTCCTCAGGGGTGACAATGCATCCGCATTTTGATTTTTAATTGATGATAGATATAGATTTTTATGGGCCACAACATCCACTTACTATTAAGTGAACTGTGAGTTCGTTTGTCATCCTTATTCTATATAAAAATATATTTGAAACGCTGATAACTACGAGACTAAGGCCGACCGCACATTGTAAGAATATATTTAAACGCCTGCCAAATCACCATCTGCACACACGCCATTTATCAGCGATATACCATAGACATGTATATTTTTCCAATCCGTATTTAAATATTCTTAAAGTGATTCGGCCATTTTCGTCAGTCTTACTCCCCAATACGTGCGCATAACACACGGGCGTGCGCCCTTGAAATTTCTGATAGCGTGCGACGTGCGCTGTCTGGGTATTAAATGTACAAAGAGCACGTCTAATACGTTAACAACGGTTGAGTCCACAACCGGTACAGCATATCGGTATTGTAGTACCTATCTAGATGGACTCCTAGCCAGAAAAAGAGTCATTCCATATATTCCGTATATTCATCCTACCGTGCGAAATATCCCTGCTTCTAATCTTTTTGTAACAAATCTGCCGGCGTCTGCCTTTCCGTACAATTACAATCTGAGCATCTTCAAGACCAGAGTGAATAGGCTTTTGTTACGCTAAGACAGTGCATTTACCACCAGATGAGATTGTAGTCTAGCACTGGTATACAATAAGTAATTACTATTCGTGGGCACCTGTAACCGACTTCAAATAAGGCCACACGTGCATTATCACCCATAAATACTAAAATTGAATGTCTTATATATAGCCTGGAAATGTATTAGCCCTCTAGCCCGCCACTTTATGGAAATTATGGAAAAAATAACACTTTCATTTGTGACCTTAGATCATATATAATATCTAGATAGGTACCGCGACGCGCTGTAATTACGTTTGTTTCAAAATATTGGCCGGAATTAACAGATATGTGTGTGTGTGTGTGTGGCAGCTTTGTCGCGCTGGCTGTCTAGCTGGCTGGCTGGTATAGGCTTACTGCTTGCTTTTGGACCGATTCCTTTAAAATCAATATCTGGGAATCCAAATGGTCTATGAATATTAATTCGTAGTGAAAACCGAAAAGGGTGGTCGTCATTTAGAAAACTCTTGTTTTTAGACCGATTCCTTTAAAACTCAATATCTATAAGTTCAAATGGTCTATGAATATTTATTCGTTGTAAAAACTGAAAAATGTGGCCGCCACTTTGAAAACTCTTGTTTCTAGACCGATTCCTTTAAAAATCAATATCTATAAGTTCAAATGGTCTATGAATATTAATTCGTTGTGAAAACTAAAAAGGGTGGCCACCATTTTGAAAACTTGTTTTTTTGGACAGATATCTTTAAAAATCAATGTTTAAGGGTCCAATTTGTTTATGAATATTAATGAAAACTAAAAAAGTAGCTACCTAATTTCTGCTAGTTGCTAATTTCAAAGAAAAAGCCCAATAAACACGATTTTACAAAATAGCCGCTAATAGGAAAGGACGACAAATTCGTTTCCAGTGTTCTGTTACTTGGACTTACAGATACTTATTTTTTCAGTTCTAACGTCGTATTCATGGTTATAGACCACGTGGATTGGTCCAAAAACAATAGTTTTCAAAATGGCGGCCACTCTTTTCTTAAACTTATTATTTCTTTAACTTATTGATTCTTTATTACCATGATTGATTATGGCGTAATTATTTAATGGCATAATTATGTATTTATGTTGTATTTTTTATTGTTACGTGTACTCTCGATGTGGTCAAAATTTGCACTAAACTAACGTGCAGTGGATGTTAGCCAACAGTTGGTCGGTAGTTTATTCTACGTATATTTGCCTAGAATACTCTATCTAGACATTATAAGATCTATAAGGTAACATGTTGACGAATGAAAGTGTTAAAAAGCTACAAAGTTAGAGGAAATTCTTTATTAAAATAAACATTTTATATAATTTTAATTAAACATTTTTTATTTAAATTATTAAAATGTAGATATAAAAATAACATGATATGAACAAAAAGCAAAAAATAATCAGATGTGAGAATAGAAAATTCAATATTCAAAATATTAGCACGACTTATATTTAATCAGAAGTTGATACACCAGTCTCAAAGTTCAAAAATATACCATTCATCTACTTACTACCTCATGATACCTTATTTTCGACTTATGCGCAAGCTAGACTTTCGTGCCGCTACTTATACAATTATTATTCCAGATTCGTGAGAATGATTTCTTGACGTTCGATGCCATGCGACATGCGGCTCAATGTGTTGGGAGAGTTTTGCGGTAAGTTACTTCAGAAATACTAAATTAATATATAATAACAACTAAATAAATAGAAAATTATAACTTACTAGCTGACCCGGCGAACTTTGTATCGCCTAACAGTCGATTCTTTAATTTTTTATTTGTTTTTAATACTTATTCTGCTATTCGGGACACCAGGTCAGCTAGTAAGATAAAAAAAGATAAAAGAAAGTTAATAAGTCAACATTATGTCAAAAAATAAAAATTATAAAACACTTAAAATTCTTTTAATAGTCACTAAAAATCACAACGAAATTACATAGATTAAGTAATATTATAGATGCACAACAAAGAGACGTTTACATTCAAAGTGACATTTTACCATAGACAATTTGTTTTTGAGTAATGTTACCATCTTATAAATATTGACAAATATTGACATTAATATTTATACGATACTAACGTCACTCAATTGTTTTGCCTTCCCGGAACCCCTCCACCAACACTTAAACTTTATGGTATGGTATTAAACTTCAAAATGACTTAAGTATTATTACGAATCTTTTGTATGGGAATATAGACAGGTGTTGTTTTTAGACTTTTTCAGGCAATTTTTTTAAAATTTCTCTCCGTAAGAACCATCTTCGTACTTCAAGGAATATTATTAGAAAAAATTAGCGATTTCTGCGATTCATTTTTATATTATAGATGATAACATTCCATATAATCTTGACTTGGTTAATTAATATAAAATGCTAATAACTGTTGACATGTACACTTAATTTGAGATATTTTTTTAATTTAGTACTGGATCAACTTTGTGTGTTTTATTATCTTATGACTTAAATTTATCATACAATTGCAATTAAACAGATATTCATAGAACATTTGTATAGAACTAAACCTACATTTATAAAATTATATATTTGCATAACATTATCGAAATATACCTATAACTACCATTTTTCTTGCAAGTAAATAATTATTATATAATGAATTAAAGATTTAAAAAACAATAAACACTTCCAAATATACAGCCAGAACTAAAATAAAGGTGACCATGTCTACTCGTAGATGCTGTGTAGCGGCGGTGTAGTTTACACTTGTAACAATTTCATCATCTTCATCATTAGAGCCTCTCCCATAAATCGCCTGATTGATGGCAGGTGGGTTGACAACCGCAGTTGATGATATTGAGTTGTTATCAGATATATCGTGTAGTGGCGGTGTAAGAATATACACTAGCGATGGGCGATTGTTGCAAAAAAAAAACAATCGACTGAATCGAAAATTGTACTATTGTCGATTTAGTAGTTCCTCACCATGATTATTCGAATAACAATCGACAAACTACTAATTGTACGCACATCGCACTGCAATCCGCCGCTATGTAATGTATGCGAGTATGCGCTGTGCGTCGATGCAACGACGTGTGCTTTGTGTGTACTACCGTACTGCAAAGGACGCGCGAAGCGGTGCGTGCGGGACAGTATTGAATGCGTCGATAGTTTTTAAGTGTTACTTAATACATATTTTAATTTGTTTACTTTAGTTGATTATTGACTTTTTTAGAGAAAAGTCACGTGCGGGATATGAATGACCGGCTTGACGCGATACCTAAAAATCATAATATAATGTAAATATTGAATTAATAAACTTTTAAATACACTTAGCTTTATAAGACTTTTTAATACTAGAGAGTCATGTACCTACTAAAGTATGAAGAAATTTTTATTGAATTAAAATTTCATGCGTAAAATTTAAGCAATAAAATTACTATCAACAATTTAAAAATAAAAATTCAATACAAAAGTAATATTTTAACTGTTAATTTTATCTGTTAAAAATTAACAAATAACTTTTAACAAATAAATAAATTTAACCATTAACGCCATGTCTAGAATGGATGTTCCCTCAATCCGTGGCTTGATTACAATATAAAACAGAAAATTGAATAATCTATTGGCGCTAATCGCATACCTAATAAATGCAGTCGTAACGTAAGTAGTGGCGCACAAACTTAGCGCAAGCGCACCGCAAGCCCGCAGAACAATCTTTTGTATAGGTCCCGTCACGTAAAAAGAACACTGATCTTGTACCTGCGCACTGAGCGATTTATCGACAGCCGCACACACAGCTTTCTTTGTACAACGTGCGACGATGGTTTTAAAAAGGAAGGAAAGAAAAATTATTTATATCTATTATTTTATGACTAAAGTAATAAACGAAAAGGTAAATATGATGGGAGAAGGCGAATGGGGAAAATTGTGCAGTAAAGTTAAAAGTATTGAGGAAGAATACCGAAAAAATTACCATGTGGTCGACCTGATGACGGAAACATTTATCATTCGTTTTGATGATGATGATGATTCTGATGACAGAAGCTCAAGCGAAGATGAAAGTGATGAATAGAATAGAATAGAATAATTTTTTATTCAATATAGATCACATGTGTAATTCTTATCGAAAGTCATTTTTTACTTTACCACTGGTTCGAAAAAAAAACCTCTGTCCTGGGAAGAACCAGCAAGAAACCCAGTGGGACTTTTTTTTAAAGCATATTTTACATTAATGATTGGTAGATACAAAACTTATTTTAGAAACAGCTTATATATAGCATTATTCACTTCGTCACATTTAAATAATTGACGTTTAAGTTTAAAAATCATGGAAGTATCATCAGCAAATAATACTATATCACGATTATCTCCTACAAGAGAAGGTAAGTCATTAATATACACTAGAAATAGGAATGGGCCGAGAATGGAGCCCTGAGGGACACCCATTAGTACAGGTGACCCGGAAGAACTTTTATCATTGATAATAACTTTCTGCATTATATTACTTAAATATGAAATAATGAGTTTAAGCGCTGTGTTCTTGACACCATAGTACTGTAGCTTCCTGATTAATGTCTCATGGTAAACGCAGTCGAAGGCCTTGGAAAGGTCACAAAATATACCCAAAGCATCCTCTGAATTCTCCCATGCACAAAAAACATGTTTAATAAGCTCAACTCCAGCGTCAGTTGTCGAGCGACCCCTTGTACAGAAATTGGTCTAAAATTGGCGGGGTCTAATGTACTACCAGATTTAAATAAAGGTATGACTTTACTATGTTACATTAAATCAGGAAACACTCCAGATTCGATGCTTGTATTAAATATAGTGGCTAGATACGGTGCTATTATATCTATTATAGATAAAATAACTTTAACGGAAATCTCCCATAAGTCTGCCGTTTTCTTAACATCAATAGTTTTAAAATATTTAACGATTTCTTTTGGCAGTAACTACTCTATGGAATTTAAAAGTATTTGAACAAGCCTTTACATTTTGTTTGAGCAATGATTCGGCGACAGTAGGAGAAGAATTTAATGATTTTGTTGTCAAAAAAGGAACTTCAGTAAAATGTTTCTCAAAAGCCATAGCAACTTCTTGATCAGATCGCGTTAAATTATTGTTAATATTCAATTGAAAATCCGAGTTGCGCGATTTGACCTTGCCCGTTTCACTATTTATTATTCTCCAGGTCATTTTAATTTTGTCAGATGCAATTTTAATTTTGTTCTTAAATGTATGGCCTTAGCAGTGGAGCACAATTTTTTAAATATTTTAGAATATGTTTTTACATAATCTATACATATAATAAAACTGTAAATAGCAGATGTCTGTACATTTTATATTTTTGTAATAAAAGTGATTGAGATGTACTAAAAATAAGTAATTAAATACATTTCTACCATTTTTAGATTTTTCTGTCTGTCTGTCTGTCTGTCTGTTTGTTTGTTAACGTATCACATATAAAGTACTAATTTATATCATAAGAATAGTTAAGGAAATTATTAAGTGTTTATTCAGGTTACATTTAGTCTTTATTTCATTAAAATTGGTTAATTCCATCAAAAGTTATGACAAATATTCTGAAGTATAGGTACTAAGTTTAGGTACGAATTTGTTCAATAGTGGCGTTGGATGAGTCATCAAGTACATTTTAAAATTAATATCATATTATAAATCATAATTAAATGATGTAAAATAAAGTTCGATAATGATATAATTATATCTAAAACGCAGTAAAGAAAAGTATTACATAAAGAACGTAATAAATATATACAAAATATATTAACCTTATTTTCTAAACTAAACTAAATTAAAGTACAATAGTTAACCAATTTCATCGATAGATGGTGGTGTGGCACAAATGTGATACAAAAATGCAGGTTAAAATTTTTTCCTGTAGATGAGTTTCATATTTGTTTCTAACATTTATATTAACGACACGCTGCCCTACTGCGTGTTGACAATCTCATTTATTTTTTATTTTTTTACCGCCGAGTACTCTATGTGGTAAATCAAATTTTAAGAGCTATTAACAATTTCGTTTTTCGGCGAGGATCAAACTTTCTTTTTTGCTTACTATGCAGACACTGATTTATAAGTTCTTTTATGTTTTTTATTGTATCAATCGTGTCAATTAATCTCTTATTTTTAGAATTGATGTTAACAGCGCCATCTCTCTTGAAATTTATACATATAATAAAAATGGTAATAACATGTTGTGTCTGTTTCTGAATATTGTATAGTATATTAATTTGTGACTAAAATCATTATGGGGACTGTAAATCATTAAATAAGTACATTTTTATAATTTTTAGAATTGTACTATCTGACGGTCTGTCTGTTTGATTATGGACGCATGACGTTTTGAGTAAACATCTTTTTTCAATGAAATCCTTAAGAAAATCATAAAGCGTATTATCAAGTTCATTTAATCTTTGTTTTATTGAAATTGGTTAATTCTATCGAAAGTTATGATTATTATTTTGAAATGTAGGTTCGAATTTGTTTAATGGCGCAACAAAATCTCAGAAATAGTAATAAAAAGATTCGTGTGTAAAAAAAAGTTTTATTATAATATATTTCGTACCGTTCTATTATAGTACTTAAAACACAGTAAAAAATATGTTTTCCTTAAATTGAAAAAGGATGTTTTCTCACAAAGAACGTAATAGATGGCGTTGTACAAATTACAACCTT